AAAAAAGATATTATTTCTGACTAACTGCAGTGAAAATGTAGATCAAGTCACAGGTGGATCCAGGATTTTTCTTAGGAGGGGTGCACCACTAAGGAATGACCAGTGTAAACAACTGGTGAGATAAACAAATTTTAAAAGCTAATACGAAGAAGAAGCGTTCATCTCGGGGGCGGTACGATACGAACACTAAACAATCACCCCAGAAGACATGATAATGTCAGTGCAAGACACTGACTCAATACAGACTTAACTTTAGGTACGGTGAAATAGCATGTACATGCAATTATCAAGCCACAAACATCTGGTCATTTGATAGAGTGGGTTGTATTAAAGGGCTTCTTACAGTAAATACATGTAAATAAAATTATTTTAAAAGCGACAAATTAAATTATAAACTTTTGGGTCATCTAATAGAACGTGGCCATACTGTACATGTAGTAACAGGCATGACGCCACTGAATCAGATGTCAGGCTAGTCATCTTGCTAGCTTGAAGAGAGGCTGGTGTCTATATTGCCTATTAGGATTTTCATCTCCCAAAAACTTTGAATTTTGATGGCTTTGCCCCTGAAATCAAGCTTCCAAGTTCCAGCTTGAGCCATGCCATATTGTTTAATTAGTAATTAAGTTAATTTTACAGTTCAAATAAGCCTTGTTGTTGTTGTTGTTGCTGCCCATCCAAAATGACCAGGTATCTCAGAAGAAAAGAGTAGCCCTATGCTCTCTTATGGTCAAAACATCATTTCAGAGATCTCGCTGCAAAAGCCTTTTCTCATGAAGCCTATGTCAAAGTTGTACCCGTGAGACACTTCAGACCCCATGCAAACTAGGCAATGGCAACAAGAACGTCATGCAGAGCAATGGCTCAGTCTGTATTTAAATTATGCATATCTTTAAAATTCATAGACGACATTCATGTATGAAAACAAGAACAATGTGAAATGACCAATTTCTAAATATTTTTGAGAACTTGAACCACAACAGCTAATTGTTATATTTCTGTTTTGAAGTGCACACATTCTATTGGCAATTAGTATAAATCTACTAGCATTCTATCACAAATACTGCTATCTGATTGGCTACACTACTCACAATCTATTCTGTGTTAGTATAAATCTACTAGCATTCTATCTCAAATGGCATTCTCTGATTGGCTACTCACTTTCTATTCTGTGATAGATAGTGAGCAGCGTAGCAGTGTGCCCTTGTTAACGAGATCACAGTTGCTTCTTGGCGTTTTTGAAGTGTCTGTGAGGAGGATTTAGATAAAGTTTTGAACGACTAGTAGATTTATACTAAAACAATTACCGGTAGATTACTCGCTCTTGATTTCTATGTGTGATAGTTGACTCAGGCTGCGCCCTTGTCAACTATCATGCAATAGAAATCTCGACCTCATAATTTAATTGTTTAATAGATAGTGAGCAACGTAGCAGTGTGCACTTCTTAACAATTGAAATAACGGCCACTTCTTTGCATTTTCAAGCTGTCTGTCAGGAGGATAATTTAGATAAAGTTTTGAATGGCTAGTAGATTTATACTAAAACAGTTAGATTATTCGCTCTCAATTTCTGTGCCTGATAGTTGACTCGGGCTGTGCCCTCACATGATAGAAATCTCAAGCTCATACACTAATTGACATCTGTTTCGAGAAAGGTTGTCAGAAGCGTAAAAGTGGACGCGAACATCCCGAAAATTAAAATGGGTAGAAGTAGAGAGCTGCTGCAGGCGCTGAATACTTAATTGGATATGACAACTTGGCAAACATCATTTCTTAGGTTTACTTTTTGCTCAGACTTTTGGAACCAAGCTTCTACGCGCCACAGTGACTTTACAAGTTTTCTAAACTACTGTATGTGTAAAAGTTATGTACTGTAACAGTGAGAGACAAGCTACACAAAAATGGTCGTATCAGGGGAAAATCTAACGTACCCTTGCTAATACAAATTTGTAGATTTCCACCACAAAATTTCAATGAATATCCAGACCACCACTTGATCTTGTTGTGCACTGTAGGATTAATGATTTCATCTGACAAGCTTTCTTGAAATAGCTGTATGCACTTTTTGTGAGTTGGCATCATTGGACACCCATCTCTGAGCGCTCGATCAGCTTGAAAGGGTAGGGGTCAAGTGGCAATTTTAAAGCTTGATTTACAAGTAAGGGAGAAAAAGTGTCATAATTTTTTAAAACTAATGTCTGTGCTTTATAGAGATCTATACCAAACTACAGTAGCTCTGTCAATCACCTTCACTTAAAGAACCAAAAGCTTTTAAAAATAAGGTGTCATGTCTACAGATGTCTACAGACAAAATGTACAAAACATACTATGCATAAAAAAAATTGAAAAAGTTACCTGTTTGTGTGAGATATCTTCTAAATATTTTCCATGATTGGAGCTCTTCTTTAAATCAGTTACCACATCTGGAATGCTACAGAAAAAGGGAAGACTGTTGTTAGAGAAAACAAACTTTTATCATTTTCAAATTTGTTCCCTTGATACATTTAGGGCCTCTTTAGAAGGAGAGAGGGTTANCTAGGAAGCCGGTTACATGTACTAGCACTCACACATTTCCTCTTTTTTTCTTCGTTGAGTTGACAAGGCAGCTAGGGTTACCTGGGTAGGCAGGTTACCCTATCTGCATGCTACGGTTACCCTGGCAGGCATGTTAACTTTCTTCCTTGTAAACACTCCAGGTTGGATTAACCTGGGTACCCGGGTTAACTTTCTAATTGTTCCCAGACCCTTTGAACATAACCGCGCATCAAGGTTGTCCTGGGTTGTAGGGTTACCCCACAACCCTGTGAAATTTTGCTTGTAAACCCAGGCTACCTTTTGCCCCCCTAGCTAGGGTTAACCCACTTGCTAGGGTAACCCTCCCTCCTTGTAAAAGGATCCTTAGTAACAATCATTGTCATATAAGGGGTCTCGCCCCATTAGAATTTAGATCCCCCACTCCAAATCTGCTACTGGATATGGACACCTAGAGGACTTCAAATTCACTAAATCTATTGTGAACCAGTCTTGCTCAAGAATGTGAAATATCAGGCTGAGGTCTTGATGGTACACGTACATGTTAAGACCTAGGGAGGGGGGGGGGGGGATCAATTGGGGGAATATTCTGCCAGGACAGTCCCAACAAGCTTGGTTAATGGACTAGAAAAAAACACTGTAGACTTCAGCTGAAGCATCAAAGAACTTCTTAAACGGCTCGCAATACAATGGAAGCTCTGAGTTAACGTCCACTCTCGTAAGCACAAAGTTCTACGTATGACTGCCTTCCCAAAATCCCATTTAAACTCCCATACAAACTCTGTATTTATTCATTCCTGCAAGCAGACTTTGAGGATACTTTGAGGGCTTATGATCTAGACTTTTCCTTTGTTTTTAAGCTCCCATAAGCGGACACCCGAAATGAAATCCCGTCAGCCTCGGAATGTTATTTTAATCAATCAACTAGTGCTGCAGTTGGGATGTATATCACATAGTATTGCAGGTAGTGCTGCAGTTAGAATCTGTATATCGCATAGTAATGCAGTTATCTGACTGTATACAGTTACATGTTTTGACATTATAAAAAGCAAAAACAATCGTTTGAAAAGGTGGTATTTTTTGCATTTGTTACCAATAGCTGGGCAAGCTCCTGTAAGTGGCCATAAACACCTTACAACTCTAGTGGCCGCTTACGAGAACCATTCTCCTATTACTAAGTGGCCTGCTCCAGTTACGGACACCTTTGTTGTGTTCCGAAGGTATCCACTTATGACAGAAGTATTATAATTGTAAGCCTTTTTGCTCAGGATACAAATAATTGATGCTGAGCACTGTTATTACCTTTTGCCACTCACCTTGAATCTTTGTTTAACTTTCTTATTGGCATCGATCGTTTGTGCAGCTTTCCTAAAAGTAAACCAAAAAAAATATCGTTGGCAACTGCCCAGGCAGACATGTATACATGTGTTGATTAGAAAACACAATCACGTTTTTGAAACATATTTAATGGGTAACCCACTTGAACTGGGCCAAAGCTGACTAAAAAAATAGTTCCTCTTGTGTTGCTCATTAATTTCCCTAAAGTCATGGGGTTTCAGACCACATGTATGTCTCCACCTTGGACACACATTCTCTCAGGCACACTCCTCCTGTGGCCAGAAACACAGCTTGGTCAGTTTTAAACAAAATGGACTGGCCACACTTTGTGTTGAAAAAGTACGTTTTATCCTGATCAAATTGAGATTTAGTAAGATATAACTGTACAGTAGACTCAATAGAGAAATTTGAAAATATCTGAAAATGGTGTCTCATGTTCTTTTGGGGGGCTTGCTCCCTGTTCAGGGCTTACTACAATTGAGATTTATTAGTCGGGACAATGTGTCAGCATTACTTTCCAGATGGTGGTTATTACGTTTGGTTGTCTCCTCACTTAAATTTGGAACTTTACTGTATTTTGAAATCATTTTGTCGCCATTATTTAAATATCAAAGACTTAAGTTGTTCAGTTCGGATATATTCTAGCATAGGTGTTAAGGAGTCAAGGATAAAGTGAGGAACAACGACAGCCAATTAAACACTTTTGGCTGAATAGATTTTGCTTGTGTGGTTAAATTGGTCTTTTTTCTTTGATTAGCAACATCTCATAAATCAAGTATTCCAGCTTCCCTCTGCACCCAAATCTAAATCTCTTTCTAAGCTACATCTGAACTGAATGACTTAAATCTGCATTTCATAATGACGACAAGATGACGCTGAAACGTCATGTTTTATAAAGTAATTGAGCCACTACGCACGCTCTCATTGGCTGACAGGTGTGTTTAGATGAGAGCATGTAAACATGGTTATGACATTTTAGATTTGTGCATATTTTTGAGAATTATTTTTATAAAACCAGCAGAGCACTTTTTCCATGTTTACATAGCCTCATCAAACGCTCGGGAGATGGGGAGCATTTTTGAAGTTATGACTACATGTATGTCTTGGGTTTGCATAACTGTCTTGAATTCTCCCAACCCTCATCATATTTACACGAGGCTGTGCAAACATGGTAAAAGTGCTCTATTGCTTAAATAACGTTTATTTGTCTTTTAACATGTTTTCCATATCTACTTTTTTTTAGAACTTACTTTGTTGAAGAAAGTTTGGTTTAGTTGAGAATTAAAGGCAGAATAACCTAACACACGTTACTCTGAGAAAATAAAATGGAAGATATTCTTTTCCATGCAATCACATCTATTTGTTTACATACAGGATTATGTATTTGGCTGACTATACATCAAAACAGCCTGGGCAAGACAAAAATAAAATTAATACACCCAACAAAAAGCCACTAGGAATAAGATGTAGTCAGTAACTGGTTCTTGCCTATTCAGAGAACAAAATACCAACACCAATTCCTCAATTTGGCCCATAGATTAAAACTCGAGCAGGCATGCTACATGATCTAAGAGTCTCCACAAAAATATGGAGTCAAAAGATGTTACATGCAGGTAGGTAGACATGCAACCTTTATTTGACTTTGCTTGCCCCATCAATAATACAATAAAAGAAAGAAAGCTGAATTTCACCAGGGGCACTGTGGCTATAATGCGACTTCGATTTAAAACTATCTAAAATTAGTCTTTTAGGTATATAAAATTATCTCAGTTTAGCACTGATGCATGCAAGGTCAGGTCTCTGAAAAACTGTCCAGGTGCACAAGGTGGTCTTGGAAAGACAACACCATAAGATTGATCCAGCATTTGAAGTTTACATGTATGAAGTAAGTTACAGTCGAACCTGTATAGTTGAGCAGCACCATATCAAGGGGTCACCCTCTATTAGGCGGTCAGTTTTCAAAGTCCCGAAAATTACTTCCCTTAATTGCTGTTATTTTGACCTCTATTAGGCGGTCACCTTTATTAAGTGGTCGAGGTCACCATTTGGGAAGTCCCAACGGGACTTTTGCTACTGTCTTGACTTGTATTAAACGGTCACATGGTGTCAATTACTTGTTCATACAGTTTCAAATAAATGTAACACATGAGGTACAACCAGTGATTTCCTTGTTTATTGTCGCAAATCACTAAACGCTGGAAATGAATGTTTCTAAGTTGAGGTCAAATGTCTTTTCCTCACTGGAGGTCGAATTCTGTTTTTCTTGCAACCTGTATTAGGCAGTCACCCTGTATTAAGCAGTCACTTAGCCATTCTCTGAGGGTGACTGCTTAATACAGGTTCCACAAGCCTTCAAATAATTTTTGTCTACAAGCAAGTCATTCATTAGGCCAAAGACAAGTTTTGACCCGACAAAAAGCCAGTCTAGTCGGACCAATTTTTTTCGCTATTAGAACTTAAAAGTAAGGTATTTCAGTGTAGAACCTTTGCCAAAATGTTGCTTGCAAATTTGAATGGCTTAAAGGCAAAATCAACTGAGTGTAAAATCGATACTAGCACAATTCAATGTGACATTTGAGACGACCCATTGTGCATGATAAAATTATTTCTCAGAAATGGAATAAAAACGAAACTATAATAAAAAAGCTTTTTTCCGTAATATTGTGTGGCAGTATAATAAAATAACTTGTTCCATATTCGGCCGCAAATTTCCAGTTAACATATTTTTCGTTTATCAGAAATGCCCAGTCAGAGTGTCTGACCAGGCTAAGCTTTTACTTGTCAAAACCTCAAATTTACCGGACAATTGTCCGATGACCACCTGTTATGTTCCACTGTATTTTATTTTGAGTCACATATATTTCTACTGAATATTCATCAAGGTAAGCCAAAGAAAGGAGCAAAAAACTTCAAATATTCAGTCCAAAACGTATTTTCTCAGACAAGAAAATCAAAAGTTCCAATTATAGAAACCAGAATCGACAGACTTGATCTCAAATTAGAAAACATTACCTAACTTTCCAGACATAACCTTGTTATAATATCACATTTACTTGACCTGATTCAAAATATTGCTGTCTGTTTGTATTATTTCCAACCTTCTAGCTTCAAACCAAGTTAACATTAATTTTAAACAGACTTGTTTACTTGTTGTATCATGTGACAATTTTTTTAATGTAATCACTGAGGCAATATCAACACAGATATAGTGGCCTCCTGATTGCCAAGGGTAAAAACAGTAAAGTCTGCATATGAGCCAAGTGGCCCACCAGGCCGGAGCTTATCCTGGTTTCATCGCAGGGTTACCCTCAGCATTAAGTTCACCAGTACCCATTTATACACCTGGGTGGAGAGAGGTACTGTGGGAGTAAAGTGCCTTGCCCAAGAACACAACACAATGTCCCCGGCCAGGGCTCGAACCCGGACCGCTCGATCCGGAGACGAGCGCACTAACCATGACGCCACCATGCCTCCCTCCCCCGCCAAGGATATTCAACATTTATTGCAGAAAAACTCTTTCTCTGTCCTATTAGAAAAGCTTATTAAAGGTGTGTTGCCTCATGAAAAACAGTTCACCATGGATACTTTGATGTCCTGCACTGTGGGGCAGCTTAGTGTCAACTATTACAACTAATATTAAAATAGTTCTAGTTAATGCTCCGGTATTCTCTATTTCTTTCTTTATCTGTATGATTTGTTTCCTTTTGTAAGCCATAGTTCATTGCCAAGAATAAAATTATTGTAAAATACTTTTAAAGACCTAACTCGATCATTTAAGGTTACTTATTTGTAACAATGTCTTTCACATTGTAGGTTTAGTTAATTAATAAGCCAGTCCCCAAGTCCCCTAGAAAAAACCCATGCAATAGTGCTCTTCTTCCTTAAGACTTATTAAATACTAAACATATGAGAACTATAAGCTTAACCATATGCTTCTGGCTTACATAGTGCAAATTCCAATTTCTGTCTGAAAGAATTAGTTCAACAAAGTCCGATGGGTTGAAAGGTGAATTGTAACACGTGATTCTCACTAAAATATCTCGACACATACCTGTACGTTTGACTTCATAGTAAACTACGAGGGTCGGAGGATCGAATTTAACGCCGCATTTGCGAGGTGTGAACATTTTAACCTTATTTTCACGAAAACCATTCGGTCGCAAGCTCGTGCACTTGAAGTCACATTGTTGACGTTTGGAGCATTCAGAGCCCACGATTTGTAGTACAGCAGACAATGTCATTGCAAGGTAGATACGTGATGTTTAAAGACATACAGTGTAGGGTCTTACTCCCGGTTAGATGCAGAGCGGTTTTCTTCGATCTGGATAACATCCTAAAAAAATCCTTTGGAAATCCAATAGTCTGAATTAAAAAGAAAGCCTCTGTCTTATGAAACCCGGATTTTCGACCAAGGGAATTTAAGGGAATACCCCGGGGGGTATTCCCTTATATGGGCTATATCGGGCTATATAAGTATGTGCGGTCCCAAAGGGTGTGGTTTTTCAACCGTTTTGGTCAAAAATAGGGTATCAATTTTGGCCATTTTAGTCATAAATAGGGTATTGCTTTTGCAATCTAGTTTTCAATTGGCTAAGTTTTTAGAAGAAGCTGCTTTTTCATCGTTATCGATAAGACCATCAACAAAGGCCCTTCATAAATTACGTCTGGGGTAACGGTGCCAGCCGCAACGGTCATAAATAGGGTATCAAATTTTCTGTCAGGTCATAAATAGGGTAGGGGAAATCGCAGATTTTGGTCATAAATGGTCATAAATAGGGTAAGGGTCTTGGGAAGCGGGCGCACACCCCACCCAATTTTTCTGGGGGTACTCCCGGGGGCAAAAACTAATTCGAACCTGCTCATTTTCAGGAAGGCGAGAATCAAACTAAAGATATGGTGCTACCGAGAGAGAGTTAATTAATTGCCAGCTTATTTTCAAGGAACCTCGTGACTTTTTTTTCCAGATCATTCCTGGTTGTAGAAGTCTAAGGGCGTCCTAGATGTAGCCAACCCCGTATAGCCTGCGAGCAGGCTCTAGAGTTTGAGTTCCGCACTCAAGCGCTGCTCTATCTGGCTTTTCGCTTTAACGTGCGAGCGAGTTTAGGAACGTTTGGAACAAACACGCGGATTCTGTTCACGTGGACAGCCGAAGTGTCACATATATTAATCTCATTCCCAGATCGGGCAATATGTTTTACACGTATTTTTAATTCATCCTCCATCAGTGAAAACATTCACGCAAGCCAACATTAGCCGCGGAAAAACTAATGTTATACTGGCCACGCTCAAATTGGGGTGAGAGCAAAAAATGGACGAAGCAGGGGGTGGTGAGGCGAGCGAGGGAGTCTCCGATATTTTTGCTCTCGCTCGGGAACTCTTGCTACGTAGACTAGGCTAAGCTTCTTCTTTATGAAGAGTATCTCAAAAATTAAACAGTCTAGCTTTCTGTTCCATTTCTGAGGAAGGTAAGATGATAAAGACGATGCAGTAAAACGTTACAGCAAACAAAACGCTCCTTTAGTTAACTTTAGACATAAATATTTCATTTCAACGAACTGTTACACAGAAGACAAGTCTTTTTATAAGTCGGCCTTCATTGTTTAGTCGCGTTAAAAAAAGGAAAGGAAGAAGAAGAAGAGGAAGCAGCAGCAGCACTACTGATGGTAGCAAAAAATTACTCGCTTAAATTTTTTGATTAACCAGTGGCTGCAGAGAATGACCAGATAAACGTTGACAAAGAAAATCGACACAGATATTTTATCGTCCTGTTTACGGTATGCTTTATCGGTTTCAACAAGCTTTAATAAGCGTTTTATTTGTTTTTCTGTTGCTTGGTTTTAAGCTATGCGTTAATGCCTCTAACCCCGCAGCAAAGTTTAATCACCGCAATTCTTTAAAAAATGATTGTAGGCCGACATGTTGAGTCTGCATGCAGCTTTGC